TCTCAGCACACAGGACAGGCAGAGGAGAAAGGACGACTGACAGAACAAAAAATCCTCTTAGTCTGGGCAATGGCAGCTTGTCACCTTGAGTTCAGTAGTTAAATAGCTGCAAGCTTACTACTGCGTGCTGCTCAAGGGGCAGGTCATTCATTACAAGGCACAGCAGAGTGCAGCATGCTTAGGGCTTTGGGGTGCTGACAAGCTGGTACCACCCAGAATAACTGCGGGGAGCATGGTCATGGCCCACACGAGATAAAGTTTTACAAACTGAAAAAGCCACAGCCTGCCACCCTTGAAGACAACATGCAGCATACGTACCGAAACCTAACACTGCCTTGCTTGCTGCCTCCACAGCAGCTGCATACATGTGTTCAGCCCCGGGCACCTGGGAATGGCCTAACTGTGCTGGGTAGAGCAGGGGGATGGAGAGAGATGCTGCTAAGGTGTGTAGATCCCTGGCAAGACAGAGCCCATGTGAGGATGTGGAGGCAATATTGTGGGTAGGAGAGATTGCAGGACTGAGTTAGGTAAGAGAATGCAAGAGCACGCTCATAGGGCCACTTAGTGGGGAGCAAGAAAGGGTTTTACTGTTTGTGGCTTGAGGGATGGGGCAAGGAGTGATGGTTCAGCTTGTGAAGGTAGAGGAGAATCTGGCTGGGCTGTGGTAATCTTAAAACATACCCAGAGTTTGCAATTTATCCCGGACCAGATTGGAAATGTTAAATATTCTTCAGCAGTGCTTAGAAGCATCTGACAGTCACAGTGTTGGCTGTCCAACTTGCTACCCAGAGCACCGACAATTTGTCCCCTCTCATTTGTCACACACACCTGCGGATTTAATACTTCTCTTTTGGAGAATGCAGCATTTCTCTGTGCTGTGAAACAATGCCTCTCTTCTGCCATTCTCATGGAGATGTGTTGCGATGATATCACTTCCTAGCAAGGGTTGGTGAATCACTTTGTTGGTGTTCATGAATCACTTCTTTGCTACCAGTTTCTGCACTGGTCTTAATATAGTTTCCAAAGGCAAAAATCATCATTGCAGAGACCTCCTACTTTTTGTTAAAGAGACAATACTGGGCTTATCTCATTGCCTGACTTAGCAAGCCCAAGCTCCCAGCGTGCTGCAAAAGAGTTCTCCCAAATCTGTTCCTGCAGCTGAAGTTATTGCCACCCATCCAGTTGCTTTCCACCCCTGCAGAGATAGGATTGCTCACAGCAAAGCAGAGAAAGGGAGCACATGTTTGTCTCAGAGGCTCAGGTGGCAATTCTGATCCTTGGTTTAAAGCTACCTTCCCTCCTCACTTAAATGGCTGGACTTTTCACTGGAGTGCTTGAATCCGAGGTACTTGCTCAGCTTTATTGCTCTGCTATGGGTCTGATAACCCCAGCACAGGAGCAGCAGCACTCTGAACTGCCACGGGTAGGTGTGCAAAGGCTCTGCCGCTCGACACTTGGTCAAGAGCCTCCGCTATTTTATTGCCTACCTAGGCAGTGTAACTGATTGTTCATCTTCTCTATCAACTTTGTGGTGTAAAGTAGGCAGGAAGCTGGAGGAAGCAGGTCCCTCAAATTCCTTTGTGTAAGGGAAGAACAGGCAGCAGGCTGTGTGGTTCTGTTGAGGGAACGTCAGTGGTCTTCGACACCCATCTGGTAATGCGTTGGCACAGGGCTTTTTTCTAGGGGAAAAGGAGTTGTGCGAGGTGTGAACGTAATGTTGTAAGGGTAAGGGTTTGTTCTCGGCACAGCCTGAGGCTGCTTTAAGTAGTCCTTATGACACCACTAATCTTTTGGCAACCACAAGGCCAGGGAACTGCACAGGCAGCTTGGAGGAGCTTCTGCCCATTGCCTCGTGTGATGGGGCAAGCATGCCTCAGACACACCGACCTAACCGATCTCTCTGATCCAGCACAGCATGTTCCAGCAACTCTGCTGCTGCCTTCGGAGGGTGTTTTCCCACTGGTTTGCCTTGACCATTGTGATTTGCCATTTCTCTGTAATACATTACACGTTGTCAGCTGGTATCTGTAACATTTCCCAGCAGAATTTTAAAATGAAAATTCCTCCGTGGAGGTCAGCATGCCGTGCGGGACACAGCCTGCATGTGGGCAGCATCTGACAGATTTCTGTCACTGTTACCCAACAGGCTTGCCAGAAACCACAGCACCTGCCTGCGGACTGCAATAGCACAACATTACCAGCCAAAGTGGGAAGCATCAAGGCTGTTGGTCACTGTATGTGTTCGTAGCCCTTCCCTGCTATGTTGGACATGTTATAAATGTCTGCATGGATAGTTACATGTGTTAGGATAATGATACCAGATACCATTCAGTGCTGAGCAGCCCACGTGTAATTATTGTAACATAAAAGCAGCTCAGATTATTGCTTAAGAGTGTTTCAGTTATCAGTGACTTTTCTACACATAGGCAGATAAAGAGAGAACCTGGCTGAAAGATTGCTCACTCCAGAATTACTGCCAAGGATCAGATCTTTCTGACCCCATCGCTAGGAAGATCCGTTCCCACATTCATAGTGTGCCTATGTGCTGGAGATTTTTCTGTTTCATTTATCATTTGTGATGGATGAAGTCACTTGAAATCTGTTTTTTATACCAAAAGGTTATTTGGCTTTTTCTGCCTGCGTTGCAGCTGTTAGTGTGTTTCATGTGTGTTATTAGCACTCTGTAGCAGAATGCCATTTTGTGCCCAGTAGGGATTAACAAAATAGCCATTGCTTCACCCTTTCTCTAAGCTTGCCTGCAGTTCAAGCTGCTTAATTTTCCATGTGGTCTGGTGTCAGCCTCCTATTGTAAATTATCCTCCCTTGCGACCACAGCCTGATTTTTCTTACTCCATCCAGTGGAGCTACTGATGAGTAAAGTTTAACAAGTCAAGTTAATGTTAGGAGGATACCTGTGAGTATTTCATGGTTGCATGATTTTTACTTATTTGGTAAGTTTTGTAAGGCTGCTTGGTTCCCTCAAAATACATGACCGTGGAAATCAGTTGATTTGAATGCAACCTTTTTTTCATCTGCAGTCCCGGGAGGATTCTAATTGCAGTGTTGCCTTGTGACTGTGCTGAATTAAGAAGCAGAGCCGAGCTGAAATTCCCAGACCAAAAGATGTGATGGCTACTTTTTTATACTTTTCTTCTAACAGTATCCTGCAATACCTAAGTCTTTTTGCATTGTATAAGTTCAGTGCTTTTGAAAAAAATAATGCTATTTTTTAAAAACCTATTAGAATTTAAGTAAATAATGAGTCCTCTTCCCCCTTATTTGCTCGCTTTCTCCTTCTGTATGTTTAATGTTGTTAACTGAACATCTTTCTATTGTTATGGGAAAACTTTCAAATAATGCGCCATTTTATAGACAAAGGAAGGAAAAACCCAACAACCTCATCCTCTGCCTGTAGGAGTGTCAGTCAAGGTATGGCAATTTTTGCACATACAATGTGTCGTCCATCAGCTAAGGGGAAAAGGGGAGTGATGTTACAGATGCTACATAAAGACAGGATGAGATTATTCAAAAAGACAGGAGGAAGGATTTGGAGCAGAGGATGGAGGATACTTGATAAGAAATACCCAACCATAAGGGTCAGCTTTGCTCCCATTGAATCTGCACGTTATCCCAGAATTATGGCGGTGTGACATCCAAAGCCTTCTCAGGGAGAGAGCTTAGCTCAGAGGGCAGCACGGGATAAGGCTCAAAGCACGGACAAAAGGAGACTTGCAAGAAACACAGACTGAAAGAACAAGAAAAGTAGATGGAGTGAGTGTGTGAGTAGGGAGGAGAAAAAGGAGAGAGGGAAGTGGGAGCAGCATGAGATAGGGCTTTGTAAAAGTGAACGGGGGTCCTGAGCACAATCAAATAGAGTTTTCCTCAAAAGTATCAAAATGTCTTAACACCAGCTTAATAGTTGGAATTCAACCAGAAAGCAGAGTGAATTACAGCAATTCTGCTGTGTGTTAGGTTGGTATTTGGAATTTCAAGCTTTGTTTTACCTCTGGACTCCTTGATCTTGCACAGTCCCCTTAGAGAAGTTGTGAGCAACAGAGGTTTCAGGGTAAGTTCCTATCCTTGAGCAGCTGCACTGGTCACGTGCAGTTTTAGTAAAGGCTGTCCCCAGGGTGAAGGTAGGCTGGTGGAGCTAGCAGCTGTTCAGTTCTCCTGGGAGATGTGTCCTCTTCCAAACCTCACAGGAGTAGCCATGCAAAGTGATTTTCAGTGGCTTTTAGGAAAATGACACTGAACATGCCATAGATGCGACCAGGTAGCATTTTTCCCTGGCCATGCACTGACACTGTGTCTGCAGAGCTCTGTTTGATAAATATCTGGGGCAGCTGAAGGACAGGCAGCCTATTCTGGTGCTAGAGAAGGTGGAGGTGTTCCTCTGCTACATGGGGAAATACTGGTGCATGATGAAACTTTTATTAAAAAGACCACTGATTAGAAGATATAAATGTGGTGCTTTTTTTTTTTTTTAAAGTAACTCACAAATAGAGGCAAAACTAGTAATGAGCTGAACAATTAGCTTATCTTTTACCTTTCTCAATACTCAAACAGCTACAGATGCATCTACGATTTAAAATTAGTCTAGAAGAGGTTAAAGCATTGATTTGAGGCCATTACACTCTTTCTGATTGGTTTATGATATTCTCCTAGGGGAAGAGTGCCGTTCTTCAAATTATCTTAACCTTCACTTTATTATTATTTCTGGTCAAGTTAATTGTTATCTCTGTCAGAGATCACAAACCCTCCACAAATCTGATTGTATTTTCTTATTTGTTTTTATCTATTGAAAGGCAAAGATGCATTAAAAAAATAAATGAACTTTGATGGCAGTTTGTTGCAGTGAGGAATCACAAACAGATTTTCAGTACAGCAAGTTTCTGTAAAAGTCTATTGATGTCCATGAGTCTGTACAACATATCTGAAATTCTGTATGTACTTTCAGGTTTGCTTTTGTTCCACGTGTGTCTTTTCCTCTCTCTTCCCAGTCATCATTTCGAAAATGTCGGAGGAACCACGGCTGAGTGTTCTCCTGCTCCCACCTGTGCTTTGGGATGTGAAAGAATAACATTAGCACATAGAGGCCTCCACTTCCTCTTGGCTGCATCTGGACCATTTTATTAGGCAATCCACTGAGCCTGTGATCAGTCTGAGAGCAGCTGATGATGAGCAGTGCCAGGATACAGTACTGGGCTGCTGATCAATTTTGCATCTTTCAGGAGACTTGAAAAATTAGATTAATGAAGCATCACTCTCATAAGCCACAGTCTCACCATGAGGACATTAGGGCAGCCACATCTGTACAAAATATCTTCACCAGCAATCTTTCACCCTCTGACAAATCTTTTCTTCTTGAAGGTAACTGTGGGTGGTCTTCCTTTGTCTAATTTCTGTAAATTCGGTACATCACTTTCTAGTTATGCAGCTGATACTCGTGTTTATGTGAGTGGCTATTTAAAAAAGGAAAGATCAGATGTTTGTTGTTTCATTTCAACATAAATCAAACTTTGTATTCACATAGCAATTCTAGTTTAGCCCCAGGAATAGCTTTAGTATTGCTAAGTGTCTGGAGAGTATTGACTACAGAGACAGGGTTTTAAGCAGGCTGTAATAGTTTCTACAGCTGCTAACAGTTCCTAGAAGAAAGGCAGTATTATTCATCGGTGTTTAAAATGTGCATGACTTGCATTGCACAGAAGTCAGATTGGGAGAATGTCAGATTTTCTTTCTGAGATTCTGCCAGGAAAGTCTTCAATAACTGGAGAAATTCTTTTCACTGGTGAAATCAACATGCAGCACATTGTGTTATTATAATTGCTTATAGCTCACCATGAAAGTTGTCTTTGTATGCGTGGATGTACGGCTTGTACTGTTTTGTTTTTATTTATTCTGCATTCTTTATTGTAATGTTCTTTCCTTTTTTCCAGACCAGAAAGATTGTTATTGAGCTTTCCACAAAGCTGAAATAACGCTGTGTGTTAAAAAAATGTTAACAATTTGAAGAAGTTATAAAAATTTATAAGTTGACTGAATACTTTGGAGATTTCTGCATATTTTAATATAAATAGGTAATGCAAATGTTTGTTCTTTGCATTTAGAGGTGGGTCTCTGTTTTCTAAAGGTCTTGTATATAAATTTGATTCTTACAATTACACTAGAACAAAATGAGTATTTTTTCAGGTTGCATAATAGAAAAAAATGTATTTGCAAAAGACACAAAACATACATGGTTATCTCTGAATGTCATATAGCCATGAAATTTAACATAAATAGTATCAGTTGTTTGAATGACTTCATTAAGTGAAGTTAGGGGACTGCGTGTTGCAGTCAGCTGAGGTCCTTCCATTCAGTTCCACGGGTCCGGGGTTGGCCAACAAAGAGAAAGACTGTGCTGCATCTAGCTGAGAAATAAGAGGAAATGAAATTTTTATAGATATCTTGAAGTTCCAGATTGCACTGGTAGAACTTGCATAGAAATTCTGTTACGGAAAATCAAAGATGTAGGAGTTATGTTAGATGAATTTTGTGTAGCAGTGAGCTCAGGCTTTATTCATAACTGCAATAATGAAATAGAATAAGAGGGTCCAAAAGAAAGAAAGGAGGAGTAGAAATTGGTGAAAAGAAAGGGGTGAGTGATAGATCACAGGGAGGTGAGCAAGGGCCTAAATGGTAAGACAGGTCTAACAAAGATTACTCCAAATGTTAGCAAGTCAAATGTTACGATCCACTGGAGATGCTCTCTGGGAGAATATCTGAAAAGAAAAATATCATGCTGCTTGTTTTGGTGTTTATTTGGGAGGGGACGGGGGAGCAGTGTGAGTTTTGAGTGGTGTGCAGAAGGGGTTTAAGATTTGCTGAATGAGAGTGGATGTCTGTTTCTCCACAGGCACTGCAGCCACTGGGAATGGACCTGGAGGGCTGTAGCTTTAGTGGGGGCCCCTGGACTGCACGCTGCGTGCAGTTGGCATTCTTCACCTGTGCTTCTGAGTTACCTCTTCCAGTTCTGTTTTGTACAAAAGGAATCCAGTTCGCACACCTGGGGCCTGCTCTGTGATACAAAGTGCAGCATGGTAAGTGGGGCAGTTTTGGGGCTGTCTTCAGAAGCATGCTCCAGCTCTGAACTTGAACACACCCTGTGAAAATTCAGGGCAGGAGTGGTGACAGGGCAGGGTATGCTCAGAATCTACTAGTCCATGTCGCAGGTGCTGGCAGTGTGTAGAGCTGAGAGCAGTGACAGCCATAAGGAGTACAGCAGGTGAAGAGATCACAGTGATCCGGACTGCAGGGTAATCACTCTGGGAAAGAGGAAGGGAGGATGATTGATGCAAGTCTGGGTAGGTGTGCTGGGAAAAAAATAAAAAAGACACGACCCCCTTAACACACATCTTAGAAGAAGGATTTGGGGGTGCTTTTATCTGATGAAACAATGCTGTCCAGTGAGCACATTCACACCAGAAGGGGGAAAAAAAAAACAACATTTTAAATCTAGGCAAGGTAACAGTGAAGTTAGCTAAAGTTCTGCAGTGTCTGCTGTCGACTCAGGATAACGAATTGTTCAGGAAAGTTGATGCCTGCCCTGAGGTTACTGTAATTCAGTACTTCAGTATGGATTCCGTCCTGTCATATTGGTCATGAAATTTTGAAGGGGCTAGCTGCATGTTGCAACATCAGCACCATTAAGAAGTGTGCCAAACTAACACACAAGAGTCCCAGGTTTGGGATGTGCTGTTTTTATAGATATTTTTCTCAAGACATCCTGGCATGTGCTTTGGTGAGTTGAAAGGCTTCGTTGGTCATTGTGACCAGTGCAATGAAATAACATTGCTGCTAGTTGGTGGTTTGCTCTGTAGTAAGCTGCTTCTAATTTTCAAAGGCTGCTTTCCAAATGGCTATTACTATGGTAAATGAATCCAATCACTGTGTTAAATGAATCTTTTTAAGCCTATACTCACAAAACTAAATTCAGTTCACTAAACTGTTGATTCTCGAGTCTTTTGTGAGTAGTTTTCACTGTAACATTATCTTGGATCATTAGTTTTGAGTGTTAAAAATGAATGATTGGTAATGGGGAGTTATCAAAGCCTCATTTCCATGTTCCCTGTCAGTATGCCACTTCATACTGTGTTTATTCTCACAGAGCCTGTCATACAGAAGTACCATTTTACAGAGCACAGACACAGAGAGAATTAATGATGTGCATAAGTCTGCGTAAGGAAATATGTTACAGAACTGATCTTGGGTTTTCTCAGCTTACGATGTTTAGTCACTGGACTGGCTCTCCTCGTGCTCTGCAGCACAGTTACATTCCTTTCTTGCTGTGGCTCTTGGTCATCCCATCCAGCACATCCAAGGAGGCTGCCACAGATACAGTGATCAGGTGAGTCTAAACGTGACAAGGTTATATCAAGTAATGCAATGAATAGTTGAGGCAAATAAATGTGTTATGTACCAAAGTATAAGGTGTTTATGTATGCCAGTACTTTGAAAACACTTTGTTAAAAAGAGCTATTATCCTTGCTTGAAGCGATAGCATGCGCAACAGTTTGGCTTTTGAACTTTGCTAAAATTATTTGCTAATAAGATTTTGGCTTATGAAAGATGATGAAATGCACCAGCAGAACACAAATATCTTTACTAGATCTTGTCAGCAATTGTGAAGATAATTTTTAACAATGTTAGGATTTTCCAGGCCTCTTTCAAAATGACTGTGCTGCCTTGCTAAATATGCTGATTGCTGTATGCCTTTGTCTGAAGAACAGTTGGCCTTAATTGCCTCTGAGCAATATTTCCTTGGAAGCTCTCAGATAAAAGGCAACACAGAGAAATCTGAAAGAATCTCTACTTAGAAACTGGCCATGTTCAATTTGTAAAGTATGTAGATTTTTTTTTTTTTCCTGGGGAAAGGCAGAAGAGGGCAATAGGTGCAGGATGTGGAGGGAAGAGGCAGTGCCATGACCCTGTAGCATTGCTGCATGTTGAGTCACAGAGTGACATTTAAACAATTCTCATTGCACCCAATATGAAAAACTATGATGCATGTCAAATTGCTGGTCGTCCTAGAGAAAGATTAGGAGAAAAAAGGTCAAGGCGCCAAATCCATAGGTAGCCTTTCCCATGCTTCCAATGTTGGGGGAGCTTACCAGCAAAACCTCAAGCCAAATGGTTCTTTAATGCCTTTTTTTTTTCTCCTTTTTTTTTGAGGGAATGAATGGCTCCGGACTTTCCATCTTTAGAGCTGGTGGTTTCCACACCACAGTGATTCAGCCAGCATGAACTCTTGACCAAATCCCATTTTGTTTCCTGGTTTTATTTTTCTAAAATATTTTACATTTAGCAGGGCATAAAGGCCTCCCTAGAATGTGATGGAGTAAGAAGGAGATCTGTGCTCTTTTTACTGGTTAGCTGTCTCAGAGGATGGTTCTCTGTGCTTCTGAAAACATTGCAACTGAAGCAATTAAAAAGAATCATTGAATTTTGACTAAAACTAAGACTAAATCCTTATGTGGTCTTGGCTTTTTGATGCTGTGTGTTTATGTGGAGTTCCCTTTGAGGTTTAATAAGAGGTCTGATTTTTATATGAGGAATATGCCCTGCCTGAAATGTTCTAAGGTTTAATCAGTGTGTTATTACATGGGAAACTCATACACATTTGTTTAGTTGCTAGATAAATAGATTAGTATTGATGACAATTTCGGAGGATAATAGGTTGTTAAATTAATGTGGACAGCCTTGTTCCTTTGCCTCATTGGATGTTTTCTGATGACTGAATTCTCTGGGGCACTCTTTTTAAGGACTATGCTGCTGGTTATCCCAGTTTCTATGTAAGTAGTAGGTTCTGTAAGATCCTAGAGTAGCTTGGCTCTGGGGTGATCTCATCTGGGTGAGATGCCAGACAGGAAATCTATAGCCTTGGAAAGCTACAAATAAAAGAAATTACGTTCTGAAAATTAAAAACATAAAATGTTCTTTCAAAAGTTAATATGTTTATATAGATACATTATCCCAAATGGTACATCATGAGTAATAAAATACTGCTATAATAGTTTTGAGACCTAAGATGCAAACAGATTACAGTTCACCTCTGTGAAAACATAGCATTATTTCCTTCAGTTCCTTCATTATTTTCTTCCCTCCATCCTCTTGTTATTCAACAGACGGGAATATAGGTATGTCCAGGTTTGTTTCAGAGGCCCCTTTGTGCATTGACCCCCATTGTCTGCTTTGTTTTCCACACTACTCTCCCATCTCTCTATAATTTTTTCCCCATTCTCCAGTAATTCATTGTCTGTCTCTGATTCTACATGGCTGCCTTTGGCTATGGGCTGGGACAAGCTAGTTGCATGAGGCTATCCTTCTTTTCAAATGTCAGTACTTTTTATATGATACAGGTCATCCAAAACAACCTGTATGATATGTATAGATGTATGAGTTTGCTAATAACATTGCTGCTGATTAACAAATAGGCAGGTCACAAGAGTGTCCATACTAAGGTTGTCTTCTCAGTGAAAATTCAGCTTTTTATTTTGGTGGTTGTGCACTGAGACAAGGTTTCATAACATAATCATGTAGTTTTTTTTGTTTTGTTTTGTTTTGTTTTTTTACCTTCTAGCACAGTCTTTGAATAGAGAAATCAGTAGGGAGCTGGTACAGCTATTGCTGCTTGTGTTGTGACTTGAAGCGTGGCTCTGTATCCACCTCCACATGGCACTGAATATCGTGTCATCTTGGCCTTGGATGAGTCTATGTCTAGTCACATTGCACATATTGCATGTGTAGCCATAGGGGAGCAGGTAAACATCCTTGCTGCTGTGGCTTTGGAATCATTGATAATAGATTGCATTGCTGAAGTCAGTGATATAAAATCAAATTAACATCTGTAATTACCTGTGAAACCTCAGAATTTCACATTCCAAAATGTGAAAGACAACCACCTTTCTGCACATCATTTTCTAGTGTGTCTGGTCCAGTGTGAATATCTTGTCCAGGAGTGAGAAGCAAGTGCTATATCAGACGTGGATGAAACTATTCAGTTTTCAACCTTATGGTATTCCATAAATTTTCCATAAAACCCCTCGAGTCCTGTTAATACTCTCAAAATGCTATACAGTGTTTTGTTGCAAAGTGAGGATCAGTTTATTCTCAGTAAGAACTGTGTAAGTTTTTATGTTCATGTTTTGTGATTTGCAAGTTATAAAGTCTCATTTGCTTTGTTCTTCTGAAAAAAAATGTTTAGCAGCAAGATGCTATTCTCAAAACTTTGGTAGTTTGCATGGGAATTACTTGCTTCTTGCAGACTACTCCCGAGGGACTTTTCAGTTATCTTAAGCAAAACAAATGATTTAATTATTTTCATCAAACTTGAATCTTTAGCATGTTCCTCCCTTTGAATGTGAAGCCTTATATAGCCTTGATTTTCTTCCTGAACACAGGGTGAGATGGAAAAGAAAGAGAAATTATTTCAGCTAAGTGAATAATTCACGCACAAGAATTTTTCCAGAGTACCTAACCTTCTCTCTGCATCATACTGACGATGTACTTACTGTTCTCTGGTATTTATGTACCTTTCATATTTATTTATTTATTTATTTATTTTAAACAAACAAACAACAACAACACTGCGAAACACTGTTTGGTGAGCCATTGTTGGCTTGATAGGATTTGGCTGCTCTTGGTGTTTTTTGTTTGCATGAAAGCCTGAACACTTCCAAAACAAATGCTCCTGAGAGAATGTAAACTTCACTTTCCCTGAAGACCGTTCTGTGAAGCATAGATGCTGGCTTCTTTTAAGTACTTTTACTGTTAAAACTGAGTTACACAAATGTTTGTGGATGGTACACAGAAAATGTGTGCACAGAATACTTAAGGTAATGAAATGCAGGAATGGTCTGCAGCATAGACTTTGGTTCTTTAAATGTGTCAAGCTCTTTCTGTACTTGGAGATGCTTACTGTGTAGGATCTTCATACACGTCAAAGATGAAACTTTTACTTAGTCAAGTGCTGGAGAAGTCACTGGTTTACAATCTGCATCTCTCAGATAGCTTTTTCAGTCTTGTACCTGCTAGCAAGAGGTTCCTGTTCTTCAGACTGCTGTTACCTGCCGGAGCTGATAAGGACAGTGTGGGATACTGTACTGTATGTGATGGCTGTTCACTGCAGCTGGTTCCTTCTGCTGCTATCAAAAGGTGGCTAGCACCTTTTTGCTTCCCTCATTGATCTAAAAGCTCAGAGTTCAAAGCATTAACTGAGTTACTTCTTCATGCATTGCGAAGTCAGGGGTTGCATTGAAGAGGATGTGTTCCATGCTGCTCGTGAGAAATCTGGCATTTGTACCAGAGGCAGCACATTACTAAATTGTCTTATTGAGAAGGATCCTTCAGGATATGATCCTGTCATCGCCTGTTAGCGGTACAGCCACAGGTGGGGCTTAGTTGTCACTGGTGCAGTGCGTGCCTGAGCCAGCGGGGCAGAACAGCACGGGCAGCAGTTAAAGCAGTACAAGGCCCCGGATTAGCCGAGGCTTAAATGCTTTGCTCTGTTACGGCCTCACTGCGGCTCCCAGGGTAACAGCCCAGACCTCATGTGGTGTAGCCTGTGCTGACGGCCAAACCGCCCAGCCTGAGGACTGTGAAGAAGCTGTGGCCGTACTAACTGCATCCTCTGCCTCCTGCTGAAGGCCTCGGGCCTCTCATTCAGCAGTGTGTAGAAATATCTTTCAATCAAAAGGGTGTGAGTAATCTTGCACAGCTTCATGGCATCTCTCTGCGTGGCTTTAATCTTGTGGTTCTGAAGGTGGCTTCAGAGGGTGTCCAGTTGCCCAAGGGTTTGGTGCCTTGCAGCCTTTGAGGAATGGGTGAGGTGTGAATGGGCAGGACATGATTGGGTTGGGTCAGAGGTGAGGAACTGGTAGGAGAAGCCACCTTTGTACCAGGCCCATTTTACCATTCCCCTGAGGGTCAGGGGAAAGTGGGTAAGGAGGACCTGGACCTCTAGATGTGGAACTGGAGTGGGGAAGGGAAGAGCCAGGTGCCAAGGTATGGAAATCTGGCAAGAACCTGGGCAGGGGGATTGAAGGTAGTGTCTTAGAGTGGAGGGATGCTGAGAGAGATGATGGGAGTGGGGCTTGGGAGTGAAAGGAGGAAAGGACACCACGCACTTGCAGAAGTACAGTATATGCTATCTGGTACTCACTTGCACCCGCAATAGAGAGATCATGTGTGGGTCTGCAGTTTTGAAAACATCTATTTATTTTGTCTGCCTCCATGATTAGGAGGCCAATTTAGGGCTTATCTACTTGGGGAAATCCCTGCAAAATAGGCTAGGGTATGAATTTACAGCCTACTTAAAGACCCATCAGAAACGCAGTGTAAATTCACACTTCAGCTTACTTCACAGGAACTCCCCCGCAGAAACAAACCCTCAGAGTCACCTCTGTACCTCAGTCTGCTGCTAAAAGTGAGTGGAATCTTCTCAAAGTGTGGGCCTCCAATTCCATTTTTATAGCTGGGTTTTTCTGTCTCTTGGGTTTTTCTGCAGCCAGTGTAAATCACTGTAGCTTTGCTGAGGTTGGAGAGCTGGGCCACTTCACACCGCTCAGGATCTGACCCTTTGCCTCAAGTAACCTTTTATTATCAATTGGCTGGAGGATATTTTCCTTTTTACTGGCTTCATTATTGAGCTGTTCATTCACTCCCACCACTGCTGATGTCTTTTTTTTTTCTTTTTTTCTTTCTTTCTTTCTTTCTTTTTTTTTTTTTTTTTTTTTCCTGTGAATTTTGTGTTGTGTTTTTCCTCCCATGTAATTTCCTAGTAGTGAACTAGTGACAGAGTGGGCTGCTGGTATTTCATCTTGTGGCTGGAGAGGTCAGGCTGCTTCTGATACAGACAAACACTCCATTACAGTAAACTCACAGAAAGTTTCCTTTTCAACCTGAAAGGAGAAGGAAACAAACTCCACCAATGGGCTTTCAAGAATTACTTCTGTGAGCTGAACTCACACTAAATGCCAGTTTGGTAATATTCTGTATAGAGAAGGAAAAAAAGAGAAGACATTGTATTTCTTCTTTCTCTCTTCCTTAGCAGATTTGACTTGAGTCTTGGGTTAGATTAGATTGCAATCCTGCAGTGAAAACACCAAACATTTGCACCGTGCATTATTAAAATCGGTCATTGCTGATGTCCAGATAAGAGTGTAAAGGTCTAAACCTTCAAAGTTACTTGTCTGCTTCTGGTATTTAAGAAAACTTGCTTCTCATCAGGAAGAACTCAGTGATGATGCAGATACATAGTGCAGAGATAAAGGATCTCAGCTCTGAAGGATGGCATCAGAGCAAATACTCCCTGCGTCGCCTCTCCAAAGCTCTGAGCCAAACCTATACGTAGTAAGGTACATGAAAAGCTGATGGGACGCTTTTATACCCTCTTCTTTTGCTCATCGCTTTTCAGTGTTTACAAAAGCATACCTGGTTGCCCAATTGGACTGTAACAGCAGTCCATGGCATTGAAACCCTTCTGGCAGATTGCTGCCCTATGATATGGTGCCCTCTGTGGAAATTCAGTCCTGCACACAGCCACAGTGTGTCTGGAAATCCCTCTGTGTTGGGCCTGCTTTGTTCATTGGGTGAGTTCTGCACAAGTGATTTTTAGGTTATTTTTTCATTCAAGGGCATGTCCAGTGAAAACCTTTTTCACTGGAGAACTGAAGTTAGGATTTCTCTGGAGATGCCATGTTGAACTACTACTGTGCTATTACTGTATTGTGTTTTATTTTTTTTTTTCTCCATATTTCTTGGAGTTCAAGTATTGCAAATATGTTTCAAGAAATGAAATTTCATACTCTGTAAAATTCTAATACCCACAATAACCACCAAGTCCTGTGGATTCATACTATCTATTATTCATTCTTCTTTTGAACGACATTTCTATTCATTGGAGTAATGTAATTTCTGTAGAGAAAATTATCAAACTAACACACATGTAATCACCACTGTTAGAAATGGCTCAATCTTCAAAATAGGATTAAATAAAAAAATAGGATTTATTAAACGTATATAAAAGAATAGAGGTAAACAAACAGTGCTGGGTGCACCGGGAGTCTCCGCTCCACCAGGACGCACACCAGCCACATCAAGCAGCTGATTTTTATGCTCCTAGACTAATACATATTCATTACTACTTCTAAAAAAAACAGGTTATTATAATTAGCTTCTGGGGTCCAGTCCCTCCTACTGGAGCATGCGCACCAGTCTCCTCTGGGGGTCTCTAGGGGTCTTTCATGCTGAAGGCTCATAGTCTTCCTCTCCAAGTTTTTTTCTCATCCTTCCCCTTTGTACTCCTTTGACACCGTCCCAAGTTTATAGAACATTTTCTGCAGGTCTTGTCTCCCAGCCATCCTTCAGCTTCTTTTTTCTTCGTCTTAATCTCTTGGCCACCTGGCCAGATACCAGGGGCTTGCACAGTATCCCATAACAGTCACTAGTTGTTATCAGTTGTTCTGAAACCCCCAGACATCAAAGACTTCATACAAACACAAATAGCTTTCTTATTGACACTTCAACAGTAATTAAAATGTTCCTCACCAGCCATTCACAGGGACAGTCACACCTATAGCCATGTTAAATTAATCTCGAAGAAGACAAAAAAAAGGCTGTAACTGTTAGAAATAGAAGTCCGGAATAACGAAAGCAAACAGGTTCATAAATTTGAGGAGTATTTTCTGAAGACTTGATAAATTGACTAGAATGAGGGGGAGACTGGGACATACTGCATCTGTGGTTCAAGAATTAAATTGCCAGTGTAGGGCCCAGAGGCAGACAGGACTGTTCTTTATGGACACGAATTGTTAACACATTCCTCACACCACTATCCTAGTACTAATGCCTGTCACATGTTTAATGAATGCTAATTGCCCTTTGACTATTCTTTGTGGGGTCTGTTAAGCATCCCTCTCATTCTTTATATGTCAGTAGTCCAGATAATTCAAAAGGTTAAGTGTAATTAGCAGGCGTTAGTAGCAGTAGTACTGTTCTTTTGAGTTACATATGGAGAGTTATTTGCATACTTGGTGCCAACTGCTTGAAAGGTGAGGTTTATTATCTGGGTGGAAAGAACTAAAATGTAACTGGCCATCTCTACAAGATAATGAAACATTCCTTGCTGCAGTCTACAGCAAGTGTAAAAAGCACTGTCCCTGACTACTATATGGCAATTTGATTTAAATATATTAGACTGCTCCAGGGTATACAGAGGAGTCTAATGTGGTATCTGTGGTGCAGTTGCATGTACCCAATATTGCAGTGTTCCCTGTGTATGGAATAATTTGACATGTAAAATGTGCTCCCTGCTTCTCAGGGGAGAGACAAATGTAACAGCGTATTGCCTTACTGTTAGCTGCTTGGACTTATCTGAATTCCCTGTTATTACAAAGACATGAATAAAATTAACCTAAGCATAGGAGGAATAGGAACTGCAAGATAATAAATATTTATGTCCCAAACTTGACATGGTATCATAAATCAATAAATTTTGAAGAGATTTAATTCTTCTTTGTGCCTAATTACTTGACCTGTGGCACCAGTTTGCTTCAATTTGTTTTTGTGGTAACTTGTGTAATCTTATGCTTCCTCTTTCTACAGAAAATTTAGTATTGTTTGCTGATTTCCTCTTTAAATGCACTCAAAATTCCCTGTATGCTAAATTAAGAAACTAGTAACGTGGAATGAAAAAGACACATTTCATTGCCTAAGCTGTGATTTGTGGACTTTGACATGTGTTGTCAATTATTAAAATCTGTGATTATGCCAGATAAGTAATGTTTTATTTTCCCTACCATTCTGATACTACACTTACATAGTTTTGCATATTAAAAAGCTTGGTTAAAAAGTATTTACAAATGTGGTTAATTTAAATGTGGGATCATATGATCAATTGAAAAATTTTATTGGAAAGAAGGCTTTGTAGTTGAGCTGGTCTGTTCCTTGAATGAATATTGCAAGGTCCAATGTGGACCAAGCGAAAAGAAAGTCAGTTATGTGTGCACACATTTGTGCTAGGTGTAAGTTACAAACATTGCATGCACCTGGCATTCTTCTCCCATCTTTCACACGCTGACTCTTACTATTTATGTAATACTTGTAGGGAAGAGACTGTCCTCTTGCTGCTCTCGCTCTGTGGTGTATCCATCTGTAGACAGCCTGGCTAATTTATAAGTCCCGGAATCAGGATCCTACAAAGAGTTGTACAGGATAAACCACTGTAAGTAGTGCTCTCAAAGTATTCACTTTATGTTACATAATAAACGTATTTCAGTTGGTGGCATACACTTGAATGTGGCTGATCTTGTAAAAGCTGTTTGGTGAGGGATATTCTCCTAAGCATGGGAAGACTAGTGGAGCAGCCAGTGCCTGGCTGCCTGGCATTGATCTGACTCAAGTGGAAACACATTTTCTTTCCAACTGTAGCTGAGGGAGGTATTTACTGTTCTGCTTCAGCCACAGGGTAGGTATGAGCCCAGCCAGATTGGTGTCTCACTGCTATTGCAGTCTCCATGCCAACTGTATGTTTAAAGACATCCTGGTCGTTCTGGTCAAAATTCCCATTAAAAAAGAATAGTTAGAATTGTTTCAGAGGGAGAACAATCCACAAGTCAGTGATCAACAAAGTGTTAAATGAAGAGTGATGTGTGTCTCTTGCACTCTTCAGACCTACAATAAGCCTTTTCAGAGGGTGACTGTGCCATATTTCATCTAGCTACCTGCTTTATGTGTTTGGAATGAAAATGCACAAAAATCCCATTCCCTCCAAGGAGATAAAGGGCCATGTCACACCACACAGCTGGGTGTTTCAGAGCCAGTCAAACTTGATCCAGTCCCTAGGCCTGTTTCACTGTGGCTTGAACTGCCCCTCTCATGGGCACGGCAGAAACCCTTAGTGCGAAATGGGCAAGATTACTGGAGCACGAGGTCACTGTGTGCAAATCTTGTACCTCTGCAGGACATTGTGGCTCTCTTGGGTTATTTCAGCTTCCTGACAGTGCTGCTATTGCTGAGAGAACATCAGCAGCCTCTCTTTTGTGCTATGCCCCTTCCAAGAATTCTGAAGCCAGCAAAAGGGAGTCTAGCTGCTTTGACACTGGTGGAGCTGTGTTCTTCCCTGCCACTTCCCCATCTGTGCAGCTTGGGTCCAAGCAGACTCTTTACAGAAGGGTAAAAGCACTGCAGAAGCCAAACCAAGGAAATAAATCAAAGCTACATTGAAAGGACAGGTTTACAAATGTTATTCTAGACAGAAAATTTCATGAAGCATACCAAGCCCACACAGAAAAATCACTTGGTTTCCAAGCCATTGGTCCTATGGTTCCTTTTCTTCCTCTCTGTTTGAAAATGTACATAGCATGTGATCTGGCAGTTGCCTTTGCATTGGGCATAGATGAGATACACGTTTACACACAGTTTGAGTTCTTTTTTCATTTGTCTTCACCATTAGACGCATTCAAAAGAAGATGACCATCCCAATAGGATATATCTCATCCTACTTGAGCTGTCAGGAGGCTAGCAATCCAGTTCAAGCAAAGTGTATGGGCTCTCTCTCTTTCCCTCATCAGTAAACAAGGATTCATCAGGTGTGTAAGGCAGTGAATCATCTAGTGATACCGTCCTTCTCCACCAGTGAGGAAGGGAGTGTGGATGACCATCCTAGGCTAGGCTTTAACTTTAGGCTAAGAGGGACATGCTTTTCTTGCTCAGAGCCAGGGAAGTGTGAGTTTAGTTTCCGATTAGCAAAGTTTAGATGAAAATGAGCATAAAGAGAGCCTGGAGTGTTTGAAGTCTGTAAAGGCAGCGATTGTCCACAGACAGATCGATGTCCTGCAGATGCCTAAGTAAAGTGTACATGTATATGCCCAAAGCTCCTCTGCCACGTCTTCTCTGAGCATCACTTGCATGATGAGGCGTGGACAGAGGTTCTCTTTCACCAAGACTGCAAATGCAGCTGTAAGTTCTGGCAGGATGTACTTGGACAACTAGTGTGGAAATACTTTAGTCTAGTATCACCAGGTGGACTGAGTTTCTGTCAGAAGCCTCACTCCTGGATTCCTTATGCCAGCAGTTATCTAGGTCAGTTAGAGGTTAGAATTTCACCTTCCTGAAGCACTTTTCCTTTTGGAAAAAGGAAAAGCCTACTGGTATGAAGATGCTCTGCAATGAAAGTTTGTTCCCCTTCCTGTGGGACATACCTGCACCTTTTAGATCATTGTTGCTTTGTTCATACAAGGTAGAGCAGGGGCTGCATCAGAGCTAAAGAGACCATTTATACTGCTAGATAGCATGGTGCAAACAGGCATTTGTTGTAAATAATCATTGGAACATAATTACAAATGTATCTTTACAGCTTATGAAAGGTATCTTTTCTCTGGATAAAAGAGAGCTACTGTGAGTCCACTTCCACCATGGTCAAGTTATTCGCAGTGTATAATGTGAAAGACAAGTCTGGAAGTTTCAGATATCTTTTGAAGAGAATGAAGCTACATGTAGATTCAGTACAGCTGTCTATAGTAAGGTAATGTCTAACAACTGCAACACAGTTATTATTTCAAGAGTCTCTGTTCCTCATCTTCTTATACATGTATAAATATTGTCTTAGATAATCTGATTTATCTAACTTCATGCTTTAGTTCATTATCCATAGTTTTGTAATGCAGATCTAAGACTAATTCTGGAGATGATCTGAATTATTTCATAGTTATGAGAAATTCTTGGGAGGTATCTGACTGTTTACAGAGGAGTGTCTTGCTGTACCAAACTCCAGATTTCTCAGCACAGCTAAATCTCCTTTTAGTATATTATAGGTTAATTAGCTCTTCATTTTGAGTCAGAATCTGTTTCTCTGAGGTTGAAGTTAAAAAAAAAAATAAAAAAAAAATAGACAAAATAGGAAATGTAAAGAAGTAACTGTGATCTTTGACACATAGATTTGATACCATCTGTTAACATGACTTCTAAAGTCAGTATCAAACTTGTTTATTAGTTGGATTTTCATGCTGTGGATAACATCTCCCTTCGTTGTGAAGCTGTCAGATGTATCTCCCTTGAGAAAGCCTCTCTGCCAGTCGAATATCTGCAGCAAAATCCTCTCCTGCTCAGAACTGCCATGCTTCCAGAAAGCAGTGACTCCAGCTGAAAATCTATCCCAGGAAATCCTTCAAGGGCAGGGTCTAATCAGGCAGCGAACCAAATGTCACCCCAGAGGAGCAATTGCCATGAAAACGCTTACTGGTGTTTCCCCAGATGTGTTGGAGGACTGTTGTTTTCCCAAGTCACAGAACAGAACGTCACTATTCTGTTCTGCAGAGTATTACTTTGCCGTTAATTTCATCTGTTTTCCCCTCTATCAGAAGTGTTGATGTTTTTGAATTTTCATCTTCTTTTTCACTGGTTGTGTCTTCCAAAAGCAAAGTGTTGGAAGGGACTTCACAAGCTCACGAGCTGGCCAACGTGTGCCTTGGAGATGTGTGCAGCTGTTGAGCATTATTCCAAGGGTGTCTCTCACATTGGATTGGGACAGCATTGTGTACAAAGGTGTCTGTCCTTACCAGAGCTGCTAGGTTGTCTGGTCTCCTAGCTGTGGGTGGCAGTGAGCTAGTAAGGATTGCTACACCAGCAGCTCTGAGATGCTCAAACCATCTTGCTGAGGAGAAATGGGGTCTGGTCAGTCTCTCTAGCCTATCGATTCCTCCTGGATTTCCTGTACCCTTCAGCACACTGACGTACATGGTACATAACTCATTGATCTCAGCAGTGTAAAAATGATGTGGTTTGTTAAACTGGCCACTCCAGTACAGTCTGTTTCTCTGGATCTGCTCTTAAAGGCCTCCACTCTGAACCCTCTGCAGTTAACCACTCCTGATGCTTAACTATCACATTTTTTGAAGATTTTTCTTGTGTATCTGCTTTCACACATCAGGTATCAGTTCTTTTCTTGTTACTCCCATTGGTGTGTGGAGACTTGTTACCATATACTACAACACTGTCCTCTGTCTCAGCTGCAGAGGCTGATCGCATCAGGCTGTATATATTCTTACTGTATAGCATTTTCTAGTCCCATTTCCTTTCTTGGTCACACAAGGACAGGAAAAGGAGTTCGGAGGAATTAAATGAGATCAAAATTTCTCTTTTGAAAACTGTACAGAGAGTAACCACCACTCTCCTAGAAGAGGAGCAGAAAATAGCAGCTTGCGTCACTTTGTATGATGATGACTGCAATAAGAATGGGAAATAGTACACTTCCCTCATGTCTTTTGCAGCCTTTGGAGTTGATGAATGATAATTTTGGTTCCTTCTGAGATTGAGGAGTGGATGACTAATGTCGTTGTGACTGGTGCCATCTAAGTGGCTCAAAAGAATCTTCTGGTTGTTCTCATGATTGGCATCACTTCCCATCATGTGCAAGCCATTGGAGAGCAAAGACCATCTTTTGAACTGTCATGGTATGAAGAAGATGTAAAAGTATTGAGTTCCTGAAGCAATTCAATGTATATGAAGTATGTATGAATCAGTACTCTGATCTTCCTGTCATGATGACTGAGCTATTTCTACAGTTGCTAATTTTATTATGTTAAAAAACACTTGGTTTGGTGTTAAAGTGACTTTTATGCAAAGTTTATATGAAGTTGTGATTTAAGAAGGACTCACCAGGAAGGTATAACTGAAATATTTTGCTTTGAGTCAGTTTGATCCATTTCAAAACCATTTGTTGAGCTAGATTGCAGCTTGTTGCTTAATATTAAGCCTAAGCCATCTGCCTGAACTGCTGCGGTGTTTCTGGGACAGGTGACATTGTATCCTGATTATTTCTTACAGCCACCCCCAGCTCTCCATTGCCTAACTGAGGGTGCATTGCAATTGCTGTTCTTACCTACTGTAGTGGTGGATCATGGGAAAAAGCTTGCTCAGCCTCATTCGGGATGGGTAAGACAATCTGTTTGTCAAATTGGGTCAAAAAAAATATTTTGCTTTGGGTCAACACATTGAAATTAAATATTTCAATTCAGAAATGCCAAAACATTTAAGTTTTCATCAAAACCATGGAAATAAAATATTTGGCACTAGCTAATGTCAGGTTTTGAAGGTAAGGGTGTGAATTTTTCAAGTGATATTGGTGATGTTGACAGGAGATTCCTCCGTACCACATAACAGCGGATGTTCTTAACTCAGGCCTGATGGGGAGAGGTGGCACTCAGGTGATGAAGAAATGCTCCACACCATTCACCAGCCTAGCGAGAAGAAGGCTTTGTGCTCATTTTGAAAGAGGCCAGTGCCTCTTTCAAAGTTAGCTAGGTAAGTGAAAATTACGCTACACATAGAAGAAAAACATTTGAAAGTCAGCAGAGAGAACACTACAGTAAGATTCTTGGAAGGTTAAGAGAACAATGTAAACACAAACAGGGAAAGGATCTGAGGTAAGGATCTGAGGTTGTAGCATAGAACCAAGTTAAATACTTAATTGGCATATTAGAAATTTGCTGGGGTAAGTCATAGGGCTGGGGTATTAGCACAACTCATTCTAGAAGGCCGGGCTTGGAGAAATGAAGTGTTGGTAATATAGTTGAAGGTTATCTGTGCTTGTTCTGATGTTGTGGAATAAATGAGGGACAGACTTGTCTAAGTTAAGTTCACTTGTTTAAGTTAGAAAGAGAGGAAAAGCACAGCCTCCGTGATGGGAGGGCGTAGTTTAAGCCACCTCACTGGAAGGAGTGAAAAGATGTTTTTGAGCAGTTCCTGGAAGTACTTTGTAGCAAAACCTTGGTGGCAACGTGCACTTTACCTGGATACTGTTCGGAAAGGCAGCATGGCAAAAACCTTAGTGCATCACCGCCTCGGAATATGTTTGGGGCAATTCTGTTTCATGGGGTAGAAATTCTTAGAAAGGTGTTTTAGTCTTAAGTCTTAGTAAGAAGGATGGCTTGCCTGTGCATCTACAGAAGGGAATAATAATGAAACTGAAAATTTACTTGAGAGGTTTGGATTCCTGGACAGATAGTAGAACAGACTGTCAGACAGTCTGTACAGAATTAGATTGTGAAGTGATAACAAAATATAATTGTCAAAAGTAATTAATGTTAAACTAATGTAATTTCCCAGTTCATAGGGCAGCTAGCCAAGGAAAAAAAGAATGAGCAGTAGATATCATATAGGTATTTTTTGTTCTCAACTTTTGATCTTTGTTATATTCTCTGACTAGATTACCAACTGAAATCTGGGTAGTAAGACTGGGTAATTTTACCCAGTCAAAGTTGCCTGGTTGGAAAAATATCCTAACAAGATGATCAGGTAAAAAGACAAGGCTCAAACGTTAGGAAAAAATATTCTAATTGTACAAGTAGTAAAACCACAGCACTTAGGGTTAAAGTGGAATCTTTTTGATTGAAGAACGAGCATGACAAGTACTTTTCAGAGATGGTATAAGTTACTTATTCTGTCTTAGAGCAAGGGAAAAAAATGAATGATTGCCCCAAATCTCCTCTGGAGATGGATTTTTAAGCATCTATTAAGTAAGCACTTTGGGGGGACTTTTAAGACCCCTGCTTCTCAGGTGGAGTCAGGGCAAGCATAAGCCCTGAAATATGGAAATTTGCCTCAGGGCAATATAAACGCAGGTTTGGGGTTGTACCGAAGGGATAGAAATATTCTTTATCTAGTCTGCAGAACTTTAGATGGGGATGCCCAGCTTCCCGGGTTGAAATACTGCACATCAGATCAGCATAAGCATTTCTAGAAGCTATGGCACATGATCCCCAAGTGTTTTTATACAAACTAATTTTCTTTAAGAGTTATGTTCCAACGGTGAGGAATGAAGTAAAGGCATGTGATGGAAGTGTGCAATGTAAACAGTTCAGATTGCTCCTAGGAATTGCATGGTTTTAATTGGGTAACAGGTCGTGAACTATATTTGTAAAGATTATTCAGCAGTTTCAAACCCAAAAATATATAAGAAAACCATGCCCTTCTGGTGACAACTGACAAACAGAAGAAGAGTCAAAGTTCATCAATACGAGTCAGTGCTTCTGTGTCCTTCCCAGAGATACCCATGTACATTTGTTGCTGGCTTCAGCAAGTTTTTTGGTCAGCCTGAAGAGAGTGTTGTCTCTTGGTCCTGCTCAGGCCTGACTTTGATCTCCTGAATTCACTGGCAATTTTAGGCAAGTAGAGAGGAAAGACTGCCTTAACTGAGTAGGTGCTTTAGCTTTCCTCCTCTTTCCCTCTTCTCCTCCCTTCCCTCTCTTTGCTTCTCCTGCTGCCTCTGTGGCCAGGGACTTGCTGTCCCTTTTCCTGGGTGGTGACCGCGTGGCCAGTCTCACTGCAGAGCCACAGCTTGAGTGATAGCCATATAACCTCTCACCTTTAATTGTCTACCTCTGCTTTCTTCCAGAGGATCTTGTCCTTGCTACAGGGATGGCTCGTTTACTTGTGAAGCAGGGGGTGATTTGCAAATTATAAAATTGGGATAGTTCTGTGTAATTTAATATTGAATTATAGAAATGCCAGTTTAATTGAATGCATGCAGTTGCAATCAGCACTTCAGCAGCTGCTTCATGAGCCACACTTGCAGTAGGGGAGCCTCATGCAGATGGGTGAGGTGAATGTTGAGAAGTGGGAATCGGTCTAGTCATCCTAAGAGAAATCATCCCCGTGTGTGAGTCAAACCTGCAGTCTCTTGCCCGAGATGAAGGGAATCTCCCAAGGGCAGCTAATCTTGCACGATCTTATCAATTGAGATCAAACATCACAGTGTCAGGTCAATAGATATTTCTAAAAGTACATGCAGACCTCACTCAAATTCACATTTAGCTCTAGCCAAAACACAACTCAAATCACGATCCAAATAACCTCCTTCTCAGCCCACCTTCATTGCCGTTCTGTTTCAGTGGCAGATGCAGCACAGAAAAGATTGCTTGAATGCTTAATTCAGAAATTTACTGTTTAAGGCATTACTTGTATGAACACCAGCGTAACACATAGAATACCAATGCCCTAAATTTAGTAGTTTTGTCTGAGTCATTTTCACTGTGTGGGAGGGCTGTGAAGACACTCCACCGAGTGGAGAAACTTGCTGGTGCTGTCTGTCCAATGAGATTATTTGTTAAAAAAGTCAACACAACAGAACTACAGATATGTTTGTGAGTAAAATGCAATTTTGTTGCAGACTGCAGTACAGGAAAGGGGTGGTGATGCTCTCCGCCCACTTCAAAAGCTGAAGCCAAGTTTAACTGATACGTATCTGATACTGAAATAGGTACTGAACTTTTCATGACAGCAACACACAGACCCAGGTAAACACTCTGGCTGCGTGATTTGGAGGGACATAACGTGGTGTAATCCCCAGACTGGTCTGTGCAATTCCATCTTCTCTTCAAATCTAGCAATAGCAGCTGAGTTGTGACAATCCTACACATTGCCAACCAGCAGCCAAAAGCTATTCCTGGGTTTATTCACTGAAGGGTGAAATTTTGTCCTACTGAAGACAAGGCAACTTTTGCCACAGAAATTGTTTGGTAGGGCTAGGAATACACACAGACTTTTTGAAATAGGTATGGGCACAAACAATTAAGCTTGGAAGTGAGAGAGGCATTTAGACTTGTTCTGAACTGGCCACATTTACTTTTATATCAATATGTATTTTGTTCTTACTCAATTAGCCTTTCTTCTTGAATGCAGCTGATTTCAAGTTAATATGAAAGCAGCAATTCCATTTTGGAGATTCTCCCTGGGTAATTTTTTCTGGGACCTAGGTGAATAAAATTATCCCTCTCCTCAGGTGAAAAGCTAACTTGTCCGTGCCTGAGTTTAGTAAGAATTCCTCATGGTTTTGGTAAAAGTTCTAGCTCAGCCTCTGCACTCTGGTTTTGGAGCAGGCCCTTCATCAGGCAGAGGTGAAGCACGTACTGCATACTGTCTGACGGCAGCCATGGCAAATACGTACACATGCTGGGACTTGAACCCATGGCCCTGATTCTCATGAATGCTGCCACTGAGTTCAGGGCTCTGCTCACCCTCGCTGGAGGATCAGTCACAGCGTGTTTAGTGCCAACGACAAGAACTCTGTTCCTACAGAAACTCCAGTAAAATCAAAAGCTTGTTAATAGAAAAAGAGTAGTTAGCTGTTATCATAAACTGAGCAAAATGCCAAACAAAATTCTGCTCTGCTATTTGTTCCTGTACAGGCATTTAGCTGCCAGGAAAGACCAGTCTTATAAACATGAAATTATATCCATGGTAACATGCAAGCCATGTTTAACTTTGCAGCATGTTAAAAGGTACATTAAAAAAAACATTTTTGTGTTTTACTGCTTAGAATAGCAATTATGACTTTTAAGTCAGCTATTTTAACTCCAGTGAGCTTGGGAGTTGTTGACTTGTGAGGGTAAGGGCCAGAGGCACAACCCCTTCCTCAGAACACTTTGCCGTTGCTAGACATTCCCATAAGGTATTATTGCTTAAATACATCCTGTGTTTTCTCTACCCAGATTCCTTTAGCTAGGAAGACATGACAGGTTGTGGTATTGGACTGCAGTGAAGTCCCAGCTGTACCGTTCTACCCTTCATGAGCAAGCAGTGCTGTGGCTCCATCATGCGCAGCCATCATGCACTTACCGTTTTGGGGTAAATATTGGACTCAAGGAGCCTGCTTTGTGGTATGGCATCCTTTTAAACACTCTAACGCTTTTCTGCTAGAAAGCAAATGTTGCTCACTGAGACAGGAGAGTGGCTGGAGTAAGGAGCAGACTGAACTAGAGTCTGGGCTGGAAAGCATATTGGGAAAGTAACTGAAAGATCGCAACTTGGAGCAAAAGCTGAAGCTGAAAACTGCAGATGGTTTTCTTGTATGTATGATAATGTCAAACGCAAAAAAGGGAGTTTATGCACCCTGTTGTCTGTTTTGTGCACAGTGAAAACTATGTGCTGGAAAATGGAGCCTTGTGTCTGGAGAAAGGAGCTATGACTGGCTATACAGTATCATGTAGGAGTCTGTGGAAATTGGGTTTGACTGCTTTTATGGAGGCCTCTGAAGCCTTGAGCTCTTTTTGCCATGGAGTAGAGGGAGGGAAATAGAATAGTATCAACGGGATGTGTCCTCAGTGTTTATTATCTCTTAGCACCTACATGGTAATGCCACCCTGAGTGAATTGTTGTGCTAGGAATGACTTGTGAAAAACATAAATTTCCTCTCTAGGGGCAGCAGAACATCCCATGCTGGATGTGCAGGAGGCGCTGGAGGTCACAGTGACTACAGCTGAGTCCCACAAAGCACGATGGAAATGAACAGGATGTTCTGGTAG